TCATTGGCTCGTTTAACTAGTTTTTTCACTAACTTTTTAGGATTAATTAAAGTATAAAAAGATGAGCGATGGACGAGAAAATGTTTATAGAAGATGCAGACAGTCATCAACAAGGTAATTTTAATTGTACCGCTTTAATTTAATTTTATAGCGACTCTTTCATACGTTAAAATGTAACGATTATTGAAAATTTTAATTCACACCGTTTAATCTGCTGTACCCACCTTAGTTAATTCCAAGTCTCGAGCCGGGTCGTGACAAAAATTGTTTCAAAGCCCCAGATTTAGGATTAATTAATGAAATTTTGATGAAATAGTCAATAGAATAATTATAGAAAAAGTTAATAATTATAAAAAAAATTGAAGTTAATAATTATTATTATACATTCAGCTATAGTGATACACCGAAAATTATAGAAGAAGAGAATACAATAAAAAACGAATAAGTGCAACCTATTATAACTGTGAACGTGAATGTCCTCACCCAAATGATAGCGAAAATGACTCAGCAGATTCAGGAGTCTAGATTGCAGCCTATCGGAAGTGATACAGTCGTTATGGATAAATATTTGAGATATTTCAAGATCTGTGTCTACCCCAGTTCAAGGGAATTGAAGATTCAATTGAAGTGGAGAACTAGTTAATGAGGATATAGAAGATACTAGATAGAATGGCTTGTCCGGATGAAAGAAAAGCACCGTTGGCGACGGTTGTGTTGGATAGAGAAGCCGAAAGGTGGTGGTGTGGACAGCGTCAGGACAGGTTACGAGACAAACCTAACATGATGATATATTGGGAGTTTGTGGATCTTTTTAGAGAGCGGTTTGTACCTCAATCGGCTTGACGACAAATGCAAGACAAGTTCATCAAGTTGAGACAAGGAGAGAAGCAGGTCATGCAGTATAAAGTAGAATTTACTGCACTATCGATATGTGCCACAGTTGATCGTTACTGCAAATGAAAAGTGCTACAGATTTCATTTGGGATTAAAGGATTCGATCAGACAACCGTTGATACCCTTAGAAATCGATGAATATTCGGCATTAGTAAAATGAGTTAGAAGAGTGGAGATAGACTATCAGCTTACTCAGAAGCATAAAGAGATGCACAAGATGAAGACTGCAGAAGAACATGGAGCTCACTTAGAAGGATCTAATGAGAAGAACTACAATAATATTTTGGGTGGAGTTAACAGAGGTACGAATTAGGGTATTGGGCTTACTTGTATCAAATGCGGAAGACAACATAAAGGTGGATGTTTGATAGGCTCTAATACTTGTTATTGGTGTCTTCAGCCTAGTCATACAACAAGGTATTGCCCATCTCTTGGCCAGAAAAGCGTTGAAAATCAGAAATTACGTTGAGTTCCTTCACAAAAGACTAAATGTGGACAGAAAAAATTGAGTTTAAAGTTTTAGATCCTGCCTAAGGTAAACCAAGACAACTTGTTAAAACTCAATTATATTCCCTCACTCATAGTGAGTCTGAAGAGCCTGTTGTTGATGGTGGTGAGGACAGATTAATTTGGCATTTTTCTCAACATGTTTTTGGGTTACAATATTTATGTGTTCCAAAGTATAGTTGAGTCGCTTTATATCAGGGTTTTACCTTCATAGTGATTACTTTTCATTCCTAAAATTGATCCACATAAGGTTTGTTTATAAATTTTCAAGACGAAATTTCTGTGAGTGGGAAAGATTGTAACGTCACGTTACCCGAGAGAAGAAAAAACGAAGAATCCTGGAAGATGAAGTGAAAGGTCGGGCTGTTGAACAGAAATGATGAGAAGTGAGGATTCAGAAAGAGGCAATGAACATTATAAATGTCGAAGAGAGGAATTCGCCTATAAATTGTGCATTAGACAGGAAGGCGATCAGAGGTGAAGGAGTAGCATATCCGACAAAACAACGCGCGGCGTTGCTGTCTTGCTAAGGAAGATGTACTTTGCGTGCAGTTGCGCCCTAGCCGAGCATGGACGAAGAAGAGGAGAGGGAGTGTGTGCTTTTGAATTTCCGACTAGAGGAGTTCAGTAGTGCGAAGGAAGGAACGAGCCAAGATTCTCTCGTGCGCAAAGGACATGTATCTCTTGCAGGAGAGGAAGAAAAGTTTTTCTTGCATGATTAGGATAAGTTTAAACCTTTTAATTAAAATATTTATTAAGAATGTTAATACTTATTTTTTAATAAAAAATAAAAATAATAATAACAATAATAATAGTAATAATGATAAGATATTAATATAAAAATATATTTATTAAATAGAAATTTAGCGTAATTAAATTAATTAAATTTTATACCATATTTTAGGTTTCTGATTTTAAAAGAATTGACGTCACGAACAAGTAGATTGTCTTTTGTCGATGTGAGTACTTGTACTTTTAAATTATAGTAATTTGTTTATTCTCAAAAATGTTTGCAGTTGATGATATTTGTGGATTTTTTATTCTAACTGAGCTATTTTTTTCTTTATTGATCATATCGTAGCAAAGGTTCTAGCTATTTACTCATACATTTTAGTATATGTTTTATATATTATGATTGTATACAATGAATACATATGTTTATGTTGATTGCTTGCATGTGCATGATTGGCTATGATGGAGCACTCATTTATGATACTAATAAGGAAACACTAATGCACCCGTGCAAGTAAATAAAAAAAATGTTGATATTGATGTGTCTTAATTGACACATTTTTTTAGGCGATACCTCCTATGAATGTTGTATAGATATGAAATGATATCGATATGATACTAATATAGATTTCTTTGAATAGCATGTAAAATATTTAGGTTGATTTATAAAGAAGATTAATTAGAATGAATATTATTCTTCATTTTTCCTTTTGTAGTTATAGTTTAGAAGTATGAGTGTTCACTGACTCGTTTAGCTCAGTTGTTTTAACTATTTTTTCATGTTTAATTAAAGTATTAAAAGATAAGCGATAGACGAGAAAACATTTATAGAAAATGTGGACAACCATCAACAAGGTAACTTTAATTATACTAGTTTAATTTAATTTTGTAGCGGCTCTTTCATCTGTTAAAATGTAGACGATTACAAAAAATTTTAATTTACATCGTCTGACCGTCTGTACCCGTCTTAGTTAATTTTAAGCTTCGGGTCGGGCTGTGACAGATTTGCACTCACGGAATTAGAATCAATCAAAATAATAGAAAAGTTGTGGGTCTATGAATCCACTGAATCAAAATGTTACAGTAATGATAAAAAGCGACTATGATATACCAATAATAATGAGAAAAACTTAGGATTTGGATCTGTCGGGGCATTAAGATATCAAAATTTATGGAGAACAATGCACATTAAAATGCAACTAAAAGTGACGCGAGCAACTGCCTCAAGACAACATCCATGCCGCCCTTCCATGAGAGCAGAAATCCTAAATAAGGATATCAGTCCAATTGAAGGACTGGTTCACCTTTTCCAACCCCCATGGGCCCAACCCTTCAATGATCTTACTTACTATAATTAGATTTCTATTAGGTTTAATTGCTTAGAACCGATTTATGTTATACTATTTTCTAGTATGACACTTGCTTTGATTTTGTGTATTTGAAGATTTCATTCTCTTATTCTTTGAAGGAGTGTTGTATCATTTTTCTTTTACAAGTGGTGTTTGTAGCTTGTTTAGGAACATAAGGTAGATCTCCCTCGACGATCATGCCTCATTGGAGCCCATGTTTCATCGTTCTCTCCATTGTTTTCAGCCCGACAGTGACTAAATGCCTCCTATCCCTTTCCAAATGTCGTCAACCTCACATCTTCTTATTCCCAAACTATTCCACAACCAGCTCCCCGCTAGATCCAACTCTCAAACACCTAGGAACCCTAGAATAGTGTCATTTGGCATCAAACCAAGGTGAACCCTAAATTTTTAGGGATGTGTATTTTTTACTTCTAAACTTAAAATCTGCATAACCTAAATACTTAACCAAATCAACACCTTAGATATTTCTACCGCAGTTCCTAACCTTAAACCTAAACTTTCAAAAGCAAACCTAATACCCTCCAATTATTTGATCCATACATGGGTTCAATCTAAAAAGACGTAAACCTAAGCTAGGCCAGAATGGTTCAGCGATCAAAAACAAACTAAACACCACCCAAAGTGCTCAGCCTATACTCCCAGCCATCATTTCAGGCCACGATGAATTCCTCTATTTTAACGTGATCCAAGAAATTAAATCCATCAAAGCAGCCACTAAAGAAGAACAAAAGTGAAGTACTCTAAGGCAAGGATATAAACCTCGCACAGATTCAATCACGAGTACCCTATGGACAAAGAAAATGTTTAATCCATGTAATCTTAACCTGTGGAAAACTCAGGTAAAACAAATTCTAACGTCCGTTTACAGGGATTTCATACAGCCGACGTTTTATTTAACAAAAATTTAGTCAAACAAATTAAGTGGATGTTTAGCACCACAAGCAGCAATAACATTGTTTAATTAAGGAATCAAAACTGAGGAATAGCACAAAAGCCACAACTACCAGTTTTTTAGTATAAAGTAGGGCTAACAGCGAGAAAGGTGTACGATTTGCAGATGGTAGCAAACTAACTAGGGATCCAAAAGCCTGAATTAAAGGTTTTCACTGATGAACCTAATTATCTGTTACAAATTTTGCTAGTAGGAAATTAACATCAAAAACAAATTAGCAAATGCTAATTCCATGTAACAAGACAAGACTGAACATATATAACGCTCAAAAAAAAAAAAAAAAAAGAAATAAGCACATAACCCACTTCATGAAATACCCAAGTAATAAGACAAGTTATATATAAAATTGTTACATTAGACATATCAAAGAGTCATGAAACCAATGCCCATCATATTGAATTGTAATGTTTTCTAAATAGGATTTCTTAATTAAGTGTCCATAGAGGGTTGTCCAACAAAAAGATGGTGCCACGATAGAAAACAAATGAAATGATAACACTATTTTCACCATTCAAGGAAAAAGCAGCCAACTATTAACATACGTGTCTGGTACCATTGGCGTCGTATTCACTTTTGGTTGCACCACATTTCCTATAGCAAATATACCACCACCATTTATGGTGTCCAAGCAATGAGCAAATATCTTCCTCACTTTTCCGGCAAGAGCTAGTTGTGATAGCATTGATGAATTTGATTGCCCAAAACCAAGTATACCATCAAGCGCTTCAGATGATGAGCCTAGATCCCCGGACTGCTGGGCACCACATCTACAAGATAAGGAGATATGCATGAGAAACTCAAAATCAGAGCATAAAACAATGATCAAGGAATATTAACAGAAAATGTGTAGCGTTGAAATAACTTCCACTACTTATATCGTGAAACTGAAATCCATAATAAAATAGATGATAATATCTGAAGTAAATATCAGACTACTTCCAGATTCCAGAAATGACTGCTGTTTTTTTGTTCACCAACGTGACTAAACAATGATGAAGTTACATAACTCACCTAGGAGAAAGTTAATAAATTATGTAACATACAAATTTTATCTCCACATATCACAACACATGAGTTTAGTGAATACAAAAGGAACGAGCAGATTGATGTTTCTTATGGTTCAACTTAGTCTTCACCTGTACATTTAGTATGCATGGATTCAAGTTGCTGTCATCTTTGTTTCTGCAAAATGTCATTATTAAGAAGTGTAAGCAGGGAAAAGACCAAGAAGATAAAAAGGCTTTCATCTTTGCATTTGCTACAAGAAGAGTGCATTGGATACAATAGAGACAATAAGAATACTATCAAGATTTATATGCAATTAGATGAACAACTATTTGCATAAACGAATCTATGTACAATGAGGAGGCCATACTATTGTTGCTGTGATTCTCACTTGAACACCGGGCTACATATATGAATTAAAAGTATCTTCTAGTTATACCATTCATATCTGAGAGGAGGACCAGTTATTTCTCTATTTCAGATATATAGTAGCATGAAAATAATGGTGTTTTGACAGCTTCACCGCGTGTATCGCAGCTGTTGCATTAAAAATTTTAATATTTTTTTCTGATTATTTAATCAATGGAAAGAGATTTAAATTAATTAAATCACGTGAATTAAATTAAATCATCTATATGAAACGACCCAATCATTTTCTTATTTAGATCAATTTTAAATGTTTTATTTATTATAAATGCATTTAATTAAACCATTAGATAATGATATAGAAAGCGTTTGAATTTTTAAATAATTTTGAATTTAAATAAAGAGTCTGGCCATAATAGTTTTCATAAATGCAAAGGGGATTTACAAACCCAAAACTTGTTAATTTACATATCCCACGCTCAAGACTCTATATTTATATATCCAGCACCCAAAACATGCAAAATGTAAAATAAGAGCACTTCGTCTCTCTTAGGTTCTCCTCCATTACGCCTGGCCAACTTGCTCATTTCTTCTAGAATTCTGGTCTTCTCATATCTGATGTTGGAGATTATAGGCAGGCAACATCCAAGAATTTCTCCCAATGGTGGAGCTTGCTATAAATCTCCATCATGATGGCCTTAAGTTCAATTACAGGGCTAACCCTAGAAAGTTCTTCATGGAATGTCCCAGCTTGAGCAGCCTGGGTTCATGGAAAGACGGTGATGAGCACTGTGAGGAACAGAGCTGTGTTATCCAGAGTAGCACTAATCTCTTCTTCCATTAAATGGGGAAGAGCAAAGTAGCATAAAGGGAAGGATTGGGAGGTCGAGGTTTGTCCGAAGCATTGATTAACAATGTGTGCACCTTCTTCAACCATTTCTGGTTCAGCTCTTACACTGTATTATGCCAATATCAAAATCAACATAGAGAAGCTTCTTAGTTACCCCCACCTAATCGGAGAGGATGCAAAGGATGATCTCTAGCAGATGTTGTTGGGAGCCTAAGGACAGCACTACGGCAACAATAGAATAATTTGTTTAGGCAACTTATTTTTACTCCAGCGAAAAGTTTTTCCAATTTTTTATCATTCCTCACCAGAAGAAGAACATGCCATTGCATAATAAGGTTATTTGTATTACCCCTTGTAGCATTGCCAACCAGCTCAATGACCTCAACTGCAATGTACTCGAGCACTACAACGAGGTAAACGGGAGCAACAGTACCGACACGGTGAAACCCACCTTTGATGGGCAGATGTAATGGAGAAGAACTGGGGAAGACAAGCAGGTGTAACAGAAGAGAACTGGCGAGAGCAGGAGTGCTCATTTTGTGTAATTTGAAAGTTATAGGTGCTGGATATGTAAATATAGAGTTATGGGTGTTGTATATGTAAATAAACAAGTTGTGGATCGTATTTAAATCCCCCTAACTACAAAAGTTATTTTAGGAAAGTCTTTCATAAGTTTTTTTAAAATTCAAATAAATTTGAATTGTGACAAAATCAATAATTTAATATTTAAACTAAAATTCAACATCCCAAAATAATGAAAAAATTGACCATATCATGAAGAATTTAAAAAATTAAGCGATTATTAGGGGGAAAGAGAAAAAAGAATAATAGAAGAGAGAGAATGAATAATTTTGATAATTCAACGAATAATCCATGTCACATGCTAAAATAAATAGATAAATTAATTTGTGCATGTAAATTAATTAATGAAGTAATGAATAAACTCACTTTGATTTTAGATGCAATGAATAAGGCTTAATTAAATACGAGTGATAAAATTTTCCGAAAATCATATTTTCATAAAATGAAGGAATAATGCAAATTAAATCTTATAGAACTATTTCGAAAATTTAAATAAATATGATGACAATATGTTAGTATTTACTAAAATTCTAGTGGACTCTAATTTATCTTATTTTGCAATTCTTAAAAAGATAGCAACTGTCTAAGTCCAAATTGTTTTGACTATTCCGATCAAGTTGAAATATATAGATTTGTAATTTCTTGAAACACTTGAATTAAAATATTAGTATTCCTACATATATATTTGTTAGGTAACTCATGAGGATAGGCTATTCAATAGTGAGAGTCAATTCATCCACAATCAGTACAACTTCTAAATCGTAAAGGACTTGCACAAACAGCCCTATTAAATCAGAATTTTTTTTTATATTCTTCAAAGAAAAAGAGAAAAAAAGACAAATCAAATAAAGAAAGAAAATCATCTGAATAAAATCTATTATATAGGAAACAAGAAAGACTGAAACAGGATCGACTGGAGAATGGACGTAGGGAATATAGAAGAAAAGAAATTCATATTCAAGTAGTAGGAATAAACGAACATCTTTCAAGTTTCAATAACAAAATCTTTCATATTCTCATACAAGAAGAACATATGGATTTTAGTGTTTTTTCAAGCAAAACATTAATATGAGCTTGAGTTCCAATTGGAGTTTTGAGGAGCCTATCTGTTTTTCGTTCTAGGACCACTAGTTCTAGGGATTGACTCCACTCTCTAGAATTGTTTCTCATTCTTACGAAAAGGTCACAAAAGAGAAAATACGAGCTTGTTTTACAGCAGGAGTAATTCATTGTTGTTTTTACAAAGTCAACATATTCGTCCATCTAGATAAGATTTTATCATCAAAATATAATGGTGAGTCATACGGCTCATGGAGCTAGCAAGAACATGTCAACAAAAAATGCCATACAAAGTAGCAATAAATTCACGATAGGAAAATCCGATTGTAATACTAATCAAAGTCAAACTAGGAGTAATTGATGCAGTTAAGTAGGATAGCTCATTAATGACTCATGGTGATGTATTCCTGAATTTTAAGAATGAGAAAGTAACTTACACATTCTCAAGCACTGGTCAGAGAAACCAGACTGCAGATTAAATATCTTCTGCATTTTTAATCAGCAAGTTCAACACATCACATGTCACTATATAAGCCTATTATTTCCACCAGTGTTTTTTGGACACTACGGTGAGGCAAGGAGTAGAAGTGAGCCATCTTTTATTCATTTTTATGGTTCTGGATAAAGAGAGACTGCAAAACATAAAAAGCAAGGATGCCACTCATCCCTCAAATCAAAAAAAATAACAAGCCATAAATTACATTCTTCATCAACATGAGTTAATTTGCCCTTTTACTGATCACTGGCATCAGGAATCCACAAATCTAAAACTTAAATCTACAAGGCGTCAAAAGATAAAAATCAGGGTTTAAAGGCAAAACATCAGGGTTTAAAGTCGAGTGTAACTTAAAATGGACATCACAAACCAGACATATCAAAACAACTCACCCAAATGTAACTGTAGAATTGGCCGTTCCTGTCTGGTGATTACCAGAAACTTGATTGTACTGCAAATAATCGGTCACAAAGAACCCAGAAGTTGAGCTGCCATCTACGTACTGCACTTTGTACTCGCACGGCATATCAGACGAGCATCCTGGCATGTTGCCTCTATATGTGGTTGAGCAGAAGCTTCCATGACAGGAAACCAACTTTCCAGTTGAAGAACCTTTGGGATCATAAAGCGTCAGCTCTATCTGCATTGAAATCATTACCAAATTTTTCAACCAAATATCGGACCTTCACCGAATCCAACTGACCCAAACCAAACGCCACAAGTTGGTAACCAGAACATACCCCTAGATCGCTTTTCTTAGGACAATGCCTACAAGTGATGCAGTTCACCCAAAGAATGTCACTCCCTGTGTCTACCTGCGCATAGTAGGCTTTCGAAGGAGTCCCAATTCCAATTTGGGCATAGTATAGCCTGTTTCCCATTCCATAACAACAATTAACCAAACAAAAACAAAAAGTTGAGAGCAAAAAATAGATGGTAACCCCGAAATTGCTCCGAAACACAACTCCATATAACCGACAGGTTCTACAAGTAAGCTCACCCAGTGGCTGTAGGACGGCCAAGACCTCCCAGAGGGAGATCAACGGAGGCTCTAGTACTTTCTATGAGAATCCTGCCATGGCGGCGAACATCGTGGGCGCGGAGATCTGTGATACGTTGCCGCTGGCCGGAGAACTTGCGCTGAACCTTCAATACGCCCGTGGTACCACCAAACTCGAACAAAGAAGTAAAGTAGAGGAGAAGAATAAGGGGAATATGAGATCGAAAAAACAATCGAAATTCCATGCAATAACCGCCCAGTGTTGATTTCGAAGTACTTTAAGCTGTAAAGAGCATACTGGATGTAATAATTCTTCTCCCCAGTCCACACCAGCTGGGTAAACGAAAGCACAAATGTAGCAGAAACTTGGAGGGAGTGTCTGAGTGGGGAAGACGAGGGCGACGAAAATCTCTGAAAGTCTTCTGCAACAATTATGAACTGGAAAGTCGTTTGATTTATGGCTCTGCGATTCGCAGCTGCTAGATTTAGAAGTAAATCAAGTATCTACAGGAATGCGCACAGAAAATGTTGACGGGTTCGCGAGATAACATAAAATAAAAGTTTAGACATTTACATAAATACCCCTCAGTTTCTATTCATTTACATATCTAACACCTGATCGTAGAGCGATAAATCAACCCCACTTTCCGGATAACATAAAATACCACTCGATTCTAATCTTTTCCATTAAATAACTGAATATTAAGTGAGCAGTTAACATCTTCCGCTTGTTCTTTAGCGGCTTAACCGGAATCTTTTCCGAATGACTCCTCTCCATTCATTTTTTTTACATAGCTAACCTTAATTGTCCTTTCATGTAAATTATTGAAAGCACCCAAAAATTTTTTATTTCTTTCTTCTAGTGCGGCCTTATCAGATTTTGATTCTTTCCTTTTTTTAATTTTCTTCTCTCGCTCTCTCCTGCCACCTTCCCAATTTGTTTGAACCACCTACACATGATCTCTCTCCTTCCTCTCTCTTGAGTTTGCCCAAAAGCATTAACCTTGTCGTCGAATTAGTGCGATATAATCATAATTAGAGCTAGTTGAGAAGGCAACGGTGGAACCGTAGGCATGCAGTTGCCACAAAAACTTCTTCCCTCTCCTTCCGTCTGGTCCTACCCGAAACCATTGAGGAAAACCCTCGTCTTTTAATCATCTTCTCACCATCCTTGGCCACTTCAAGCTTCTCAAAATCCTGCAAAACATCTTCCAATGGGATTTGTTAAATCCTGGATTTAAGGCAAATCGGAGGAGAAATAGGATTTAAGAACCTCTAGAATTTGAATGTTACTTTTACTATTTATTAGGTTGTGTTGCTCATGTAAATCCTCCCCAAAATGTTATTTCAAAAATTAGAATTCGCTCTCCACCTCTATCAAAATAAAATAAAATATTATCTCAATTATGTTAGCTAAGGTCAAAATTAATTAGATTCATATTTTTTTTTACTTTTAAAATGCTATAATAATTATTTAATGATAACAATAATGATAATAATAAATGATGATTAGGCTGCTCATAATTTGGTGAATAAATAAGTTTATATTATATAATTTTTTATATTTTTTTTCTAAATGGTTTAGGATTGCTAGTTGAATTGTAGAATGCGAGAAGTATCGTTTTTGTAGTCTCAGGGTAAGAAATTATCTTTTTTATTAGATGATAAATGCACCCTTCTTTGTTAGGAGTGTTAATCATTGTTATTTGTAGTAGACCCATAGTATTTTACGGGATTGTCAGTCATAACCATTGCTACTTCATTTATAATTTTGCATTTGTTATAAACCTCAATTATTATTCATGAAGAAACCACTAATTGACTTAATTTATTACTGCAAAATTTTCACATATTTGAGTGTTTATGCAATTATAATAATTCAATTTCCTTGCACTTCACTTTGATGATATTGCATGTGAATTCATGTCGTATCACAAGCTTATGAAAAGTGGCATATTTCTTATATATTACACCTGTAGAAAATTTGATATGTTTGTGTGTGACGGTATATAAGTTGGTGGAACCCTAATAAACATTTAAATATAATAGTTATGTTAAACCCTAAATCAAACATCAAAATATGCAGAAGTGTAAAATTATAATTATTTAAAGTTTTAAAAATTTCATGAAATGAAATTTTAATAACCCTAATCAACTCAAATTAGAAGACTAATGATTAAATCGTCATTTAAGACACTTTAAGAGAAATTAGTGGAACCCAAAAGTCAAACCAACCAAATTTTAATTAAGGTTAAATAAAATTACAAAATTCAAAAATCACCCTTAATAGTAATTTGAACATTTCAAAACGTCAAGACCATTAAAATCTAATTGGAACAATAAAATATAAATTAATTAAGATATAATGAAATCTATAAGTAAGAAGGAGGGTTAAATTTGTAACTTTCCCAAAATTACAAATGTGCCTTCCCTAACACTCAAACCTCTAATTTGAACATGAAAGAGTTAAAACTCATGAGACTTAAACTCAAATGATAATTAATCAATGAAACAATTAAAATATAATAAAATTTGATTAATCAAAAGTGATTAGATGTTTATTAATAATCTCTCAAAATTACAACCTTTAAAAGTAGAAAAGCAACAAAGACCAAATAAAATTTGTGAGCTTAAAACATGATAAACTTTTAATTTGGTCTTTTAAAGTTTAATTTAAGAAGGTTGAAAAGCAACAAAGACCAAATAAAATTTGATTAATCAAAAGTGATTAGATGTTTATTAATAATCTCTTTTAAAATAGTTTTACTTTTCAACCTTTAAAAGTAAAACTTGTGAGCTTAAAACATGATAAACTTAATTTAAAAACTACTAATAAAAGATCAAATAATTATCAAACATTAGAATGCTTATGTTTAAAAATGGATGGGGGATATGTTTGTAACTTTCCCCTGAATTATAAACATCCCTTTCTCATTAACAAACTTAATGAAACAAATGTATTTAAAATTGAAATTATTAACTAATCACTTCACAATATTCAACAAGTATTAAAACAACACTAAACCACTTTCACACTGAGATGAAGAAGATTAGGTCAAATTTTATAATTTTACAAAAATACCCTCGACAAACTAGAACTTTAAGAAATTCTTCAAGAGAACTTCACATCAATTGAAATATTTAACATTGAATTAAATAAAAAAAAGTAAACCAAAATATATAAACATCAAATCAATTAATTAAAAAAAATCATTCAACAAGCATAACCAAAATCTAATAGAATCCATAAAATCAGTTTGTCACTAAAACCTAAAAGTGAACCTTAAAATAAAATTCGCTAAAATATTAATTTAACTAAACAAAATTTTAGTTTGTGAGGCATCCTTGGATAAGGTAACTCATGGTTGCTAACAATGAATCCTCCAGTTATTCGTAACCAAGCAAACCACAAACACTGATGATCCTGAGATTATGGAACCATGGGATCTTGACCTGGTTCGTCTTAAGAATCAAATTAATTAAATAAAAATCATTTTAAAAATCAAATTAATTGAAAGATATATTAGTTATAATCAAATAAAATCCAACTAAGAAAAAAGGTGTAGAATCATAAAATCTGGAAGACATTAAAAATGTAAAGTGAATCCTTAATGAACAAACAAAATAAACATAACTTAAGCAATAATAAATTCATCATAGATCTACGATGTTTTCTTGGATGACACAACTCATAGTGTTGACAGGAAGCTTCAGGTTGTATTGGGTTAACTTTCCCTTCTAACTAAGTAGATCAGGGATTGTGATGACCAAGGACAATGAAAAGTCATAGACATCTTGATTGAGTATCGTTGCCTTTTTTTCCCTCACTTTACACCAACTCATTTTTAGACGTCACAAGGTGCTAACTTTTTAAACGTCGTAGGATTATGTTATACGGTGCTTTTGTGATTGCTTCATTTGCTCATTAGACATTCGTTAGGATGAATGGATAAACTTTATTTTTTTGCATAGGTTTTTTTTTCATGTTTCTAGATTGTCACAGTATGCTTAGGATGTGCTCTTTATTTTGTAACGCAACTTTATTTAAAATTAGGTTTTCATAGTAACGTAGGTTTTCTTTCTTGCTAAGTCATCTTTTTATTTTAGAGTTAAGGTGTGTTTTGGTCAATCAACTATCAACGTCTGGACTATCTAAGAGAGAATGAACATAAAAACCATTGATAAACAACAACTGAACCAACAATGATATTTGAATGATGTTGATCAACGAGTTTGACATGGGTATAGCGTAGGAATCCTCATGTAATCCATGTTTTTTTTCTTTTCTTATTTTGTTCGATAGAACAAACCAAATTTCATATCAGTGTTTTTTTGTGATTATCGATAGACTCATTTTGTAAGGACTAGATTTTCTAATCAAACCAAATAACTTTAACTTAGTTTTTCAAAATTAAATAAAACTCATAACCAAAAAAAAATTGCAAAAGATATTGCATTCATAACCTTAGAAATATAATTTATTTAAAATAATCTAAATTTTCATTAAATAAAATAGAGTAGAAACATCTTAGCGATTTAGGAATAGCCATGAAAATAGTATCATTGGCATATGCATAAAATTTTATTCATATTATTTTGTTTCCCAGGTCCTCGCTTATTACATGAAGAGGGGTGGCTTGTTCCATAACATTTATGTAAATGGGAGAGGGGTAACGAAGAATCGAGGAAGATTAAGCGAAGGGTCGGGCATTTGAACATAAACTATGAGAGATATGGAGTAGGAAGAGGAAGTGAATTGTGGAGAAGCCAAAGAGAAGAATTCACTTTATAAATTGCGTATAAGACGGGAAGGCGATCAGAGAGCAAAGGAGGGTGAAGGAGAACAAGTATTGTACCCAAAGAAGTGACGAGTGGGTTAAGGAAGAGCCGTCATCTCTGTTGTAGAAGGAGTCACTGATGTCGCTAGGTGCAGTTGGGCCCTAGCCAATCATCAACAAAGAAGAGAAGGGGAGGGAGTGCAATCAGAATTCGGTTGGAGGAGTTCAGTCGAGTCGAGCTATATCGTGTAAAGGAACTATAAGAAGGAGGAGACCGAAGGAGACTTTAAAACTAAGGTAAGATATAAAAAAGGTTTACGAAATTAATGTAATAAAATAATAATAAGATATATATATATATATATATATA